GGGAGAATCTCTGGATGAACAGAGAGAGCGAGGATGCTGAGGAAGGCATGGACAGCACATATTTTCAGGAGTTCTCTTCCACTTTGAAGGCAGCAGAGTATGATAGTCAGGGTAGTGAGGCAGAAGAGGAGGAGCCCACCGAGGAGGATGACAACCTGTGAGTGTCCAAGGAGCCAGACCCCACCCCAGGAGGGCATATACCACTGTTGGGCCCTTCACCAAGCCTGGCGAAGTAGGCTGGGGGACCTGCGGATCAAACCCTGGGACCTTGTGTGTAGGTCCTAACATGACCCACTGGGATTCAAGAAACTCTCAAAGGAAAAGGTTTGACCTTTCTGTGAAATCCCTGCCTGAAGAAAGCCCCCCAGCATTTCAGTGCGCTTTGCAGTTTTTCAGGGTGAGCAGCCAAATTCCTTCCTGTTCCTCTTGAATCAGGCAGCATCACAGAGTTAAGCCTCTTGCCAGTGACAGGAGAAACCTTTGAAAGATGTGACTTTTTATTCTGAGGGTGGTAGAACATGCCTATAATCTCAGCCTTCTGGGAGACTAAGGCAGAAGGATTACTAGGAGTTTGAGGCCAGCCTGGGTTATGTAATGAGTTCAAGACCAGCCTGGACTGCACAGTGAGACCTGTCTCAAAAAGAAAAACTTAGTTTTTAATGCTTGTTTGGTATCTCTCCATACCTGATTGAGTGCCCTTCTATGTAGACACCTTTCTGGACCTGTCCACTGCATCTCTCCTTGCACCAGCTGGGCCTATGGGGGTGGGCTCATCCTAGTCCCCCTGGCTCCCAGCCTTCTCTCCTCCCTGGCTGAGATGACAGGCGCCATCTCCCTGGGGCTGCTCATGCTGTGCTGTGGTCCTTGGGAGGCTGCTGGGGTGGGAAAAGAAGTCTCCCATCTGTGCCTCCATTTTGTTGTTGAACATGAGCTTTGGTTTTGAGATAGTCCCGGGCCAGGGTGAAGCAGCTGGTAGTGGCTTGAGCCCCAGCTCAGTGCCATTGCACCATGGTCACTGCAGACCCCTCTGCTTGCAGCCCCATGACATCCTCTTCCTTTTTTTTTTTTTTTTTGGCAGAACTGGGAATTGAACTCAGGCCCTTGTGCTTGCCAGGCAAGTGCTTATTCTACTGAGCCATCTTCCTGGCCCGACATCCTCTTCTATGATAGTGCTGATGACATCTTCCACTGTCCCTGAATGCTGGGTTTCACAGAAGCACTGCCTGGGGCATCTGTGTGCTCAGAGTTGCCACCAGTCACCCTCGCTGTTCTGAGGGTCACACTTCACTGAGCAGGGGCGTCATGGCAGGTTCAGGCTAGGCATCCCCTGAGTTGCTCTATGCTAGGGCCCATAGCCCAGCCCCCAGATGCTCTCCCCAAAGCACTCTATCTCAGACCATTGTTGGTCATTAGAGAGCCCACAACCCTCTTAAAAATCAGGTACAGTGGTTCACTCCTGTAAGACCAGCCTCTTGGTAGGCTAAGAGGACCACATAGAGGCCAGCCCAGGCAACTTAGCAAGGCCACATCTCAAAAAAAAAATAAAAGAGAAACAGTAATGTCACTCAGAAGCCATTTCTCCTGTACCTGGACTGAATTGCAGGAGAACCCAGTCATGGATGTCAGTTGCCCTCTTCAGGAAGAGTATGCAGTCCATGCCTGCTCTTCCAAGATAGGTATTCAGGCAGCCACCCTCATGTTACAGGGAAGCAGGGAAGGTACTCCTGGGCCTACAACCTTGGTCTTACTGTGTGTAGTGAGGGGTACAGTCCCAGCCCCACCAGCTCATGACCCTGGGAGCTATGAGAATGCAGGTCCTGAGGGTTGGACTGTGGGGAGAGGGAGAGAGAGAGAGAGAGAGAGAGAGAGAGAGAGAGAGAGAGAGAGAGAATTGCGGGGCGGTGGGGGTGTTTTGCAGCCCCCGCCCTTGGGACCCTGACAGCCCAGTCAGGGCTTTCTTTTCCTGTTTGGAAAACCTTAGGGCTGCCCTCATCAGCCTGCAGCCTCGGCCTCTCCTGACCCCTTTTGTCTTCTGTTGATTAGAGAAGAACACAACGACATCCTGGCTGTAGCTGACTGGGGACATAAACTTTCCTTCTACCAGCTAAGTGGGAAGCAGGTATGTAGCTCTGTGCAAAGCTGGCTGCAATCAGGCCTATTCTGGACTGGTTCCCTCCTTGAGATCTGTTACTAATTACGCATGGTCACTGTTAGCACGAGCTTATTGAACCTCAACTGCGAAAACAGGTGTTGTGCTGAGTGCTTCCTACAGCTTGTCTCATTTGATTCTTAACAAGTTCTGAGGGACTGAGGCTTATTCATTTTTTATTTTAGTTTTAATTTTAGTTTTTATTAGTGCATGTTTGCAATACGTGGTGCTCACATTCATCATGGAATAGCTACCTTTTAGAGAAGAAGAGGCAGCATGGTATTGGAAAAAAGATAGACATGTGGATCAGTGGAACAGAATTGAGGATAGAAAGGCTTCCCCAGATGTAGCCGACTATTTGATGCTGGACAAAGGGCCCTAAAACAGGAGGAGGAGGAAGGACAGCCTATTCAATAAGTGGCATTGGGAAAGCTAGTTATCTGTTTATAAAAGAATAAAACTGGATCCTTATCTCTCATCATATACTAACAAAATCAAAGTGGACCAAAGATCTAAACATTAAAACAGAAACATTAAACCTTCCAATAAGAAGGTAAAACATCTGAAGTCATAGGCGTAAGAAAAGATTTTTCTAAACAGAACCTCAATCACACAAGAAATAGCAGCAAGAATCAACAGATGGGATCATGTCAGACTAAAAATCTATACAGCAAAATATTCAGTCAATAAAGTGAAGAGGCAGCACAGCATTGGAAAAAAAATTTACCAGCTACTCCTCAGAGAACTAATACCTAGAATACACAAAGAACTCAGAAGAATTAAACCACCTGAAATTAAAGACCCAGTCAAGAAATGGGCTAGAGAAATGAATGATACTTCACAGAGGAAGAAATACAAATGGCCATCGAAAATGTGGAAAACATATTCAACATCTCTGGTAGTTAGAGAATCACAAATTGAAACAACGCTAAGATACTATCTCACTCCGGAAGGAACAGTGATCATTAGGAAATAAATGAGGAATGCTGGCAAGGCTGTGGAAAAGGAACCTCCTGTATTGTTGATGGAGTGTAAAGTAGTACAAGTATTATGGACATGAATATGGGGATTTCTCTTTTTTTAAACTTAATTTTATTTGTGTATTAGGGAAGGGTCTACGGGGTGTTCAAGGTCTTACTACTAGATCGGACTCCTAGTGATCCGCCTGTTTACAGCCTCCCAAGAGCTGGGATGACCAGCGTGCGCCGCCATACCCAGACTCAATTGCCATCTCAGCACATCCTGGGCAGGGGGGCCGGCACTGCAGGCCTGGGGACCAAACCTCCAGCCTATGCATCTGCTTGCAGGCAAATACGGGGATTTCTCAAAGAACTGAAATTAGAAAGAAGACCCAGATATCCTCCTGCTAGGTGTCTTTCCCAAAGAGCTTAAGTCACCTTACTACAGTGATAAATGCATACCAATGATTATAGCAGCACAGTTTATAATAGCTAAAATCCTGAAAGCGACCAGTATACCTTTCAGCAGATGACTGGATAGGCAAAATGTGGTATCCATATATAATCCATATATACTACTTGGCTATAAAGAATGATAATTTTTTTCCATTTATGTATTTGGTACAGTGTCTTACTATGTAGCTCAGACTCTTAGTGATCCTCCTGTTTCAGCCTCCCTAGCGCTGGGATTACAGGCATGCACCACCACAGTGTGCCCTGGGGGCAGGACTGGTGCAGCATGGGGAGGAACCAGGGATCAAACGCCAGACCCTGTGCTTGCCAAAGCAGGCACTTAGTCTGCTGAGCTATCTCACCACCCCTGAGAATGACAAATTTGAGGCATGTGTAGAAAAATGGTTGTCCCTGGAAAACATAATGTTGAGTGAAATAAATCAAAACACACAAGCTTATATGCTGTATGGTACCCATCATCTGAGTGAGGCAGTGTACAAAGAAGATGATAAAAGATGGCTAGAAAGGGACACGGGGACAGATCTTATCCAGTAAGGGAATGGTTGAAGGGAACAAGGAGAGGAGAGGGGTATGGGGAGGGGAAGAGGAAATGAGAGGACTGTGTCATGTACAGGAACCTAATAACCCAACTCAGTGCCATAACATGGGCTAAGACAAGCAGTATCAACAGGTAGGAAGGTGATTGGGGAAATAGAGGAGGGAGGGGAGAAGGGGATAAAAACAAACTATAGTATGTACATGTAACTACTTCCCAAGGTGATTATGAATTGCATGAATTACAAGCATGTACTAATAAAGAAGAAAGCTAGAAATAAGACCAAGACCAGAATGGGGAGAAATTGTTCCCATGGTCCCACATGGTGAACACATAGAGGATCCTGGCTTGACACCCAGATTGGTAGGATGATAAAGTGTAGCTGTGCCAGGAATGGTGGCGCACACCTATAATCCCACTTGGGAAGCTGAGGCAAGAGGATCTCTACAAGTTTGAGGCCAGCCTGGGATACATAATAAGTTCAAGGCCAGCCAGGACTGCAATGCAAGACTCTGTCTCAAAAAACCTAAAATAAATAATAAAGTCTAGCCATGGAGACTGAGTTGCAGTTCAGTAGCAGATTACTGGGCTGGCACGTGAGCCACCCTGGGTTCCACCTCAGCAATGACGCCATCAACAGCCTTGCTTTCCAGTGGTGACCTCACCTTTGTGCCTTTGCTTCCACTTATTCTTGAGACACTTCTGCCAGCCCAGTATAGAAGAGGTATGGGTGCCCGGGGCCTGCTTAATGGCACATAGCCTGATACGATGGGAAGCCTGACATGATGGGATGCCTGACAGGGAAGGTGGTGCTGCTGCTGCATGGGGTCCATGAGGGGTCTGGTAGAAGTGACCTTGGAGTAGGGTAGCAGAGGACAGTGGACTGTTGTCTAGGCAGAGGAGGTGATCCGTGCTCAGGCACAGGAGTGTGTGGCTCATCCATTGCAGTCCAGATGTGCTGACCCCAGTGACTGCCCCAAATGTGGGCAACTCGACTGTGTAATTTGTGGTAGTGGGGGACTGTGTTTGTACTTTCCCCTGAAAAAATAAAAAAGATCTGCCATCCAGGTTCCAGGCCCTGTCTGGTCATCTGCTTGGTGTTTGTGCTTCATCGAGCAATAATTATCAGCCCACTAATAGGCTGTGTGGGTGCTGTATGCCAGGCACTGTGCAGACAAATAACCTGAGATATTCCTAAGAATAAATAGGTACACCATACTGGATGAGTGGGGTCTTTGGGTTGGGGGTGAAGAGCTCATTGTGGTAATCCGGGCTGTGGAAATACACATCTTGAGGTTTGAGTGATGAGTAGCCCCCGTGTGCCAAGATGGAGACCCAGCTTCCCCACAGTGACGGTGGTGTCCAATGGCTGAATATCATCAACTCTTGGAGGACTTAGAATTAATTACAGGGTGGTGTTGGCCAAATGTGCTTGTGATAATGTAAATGTTGGTTGTGTGTAAGAGGATCTGGCATAGTAACAATTGTGTTTATTGAGATCTAAATGTGGTCTGCATGCCTCAGTTAACTCGTTAACCCTAAAACAAACCCACAGGTGGTGCTGCTGTCATCAGCATTCTGATGTTAAGGAGGACGAGGCAAGGATATCTGTGGGTCTCCTGCTTTGGGCACACAGGTCAACCTGTGGCCATGCCTGGTCAGGTCTCCAGCGGCTGGGGCACTAGAGTCTGTATTAGGGTTTCTACTAGATTAGTTTTGTAACAACCACTCCAAACCTGTCATTGAGTAATTAATTTTGCATTTATGATTTTACCCAGAAAGACAGAAAATTCTTAAGAAGTTTCTTAGCAGTGTTGGAATAGGTAAGAGTCATTACATTTTCCTACTCAGGTTCAGTAGGTTTTTGAACCTATATTATTTATGTCTTTCCTTGAACATGCAGATTTTGGTCCTAGGTCTTCATCCTCTCCCTCCTTTCTGGAATGTCACATACAATGGGGACTCTTAGGGGCCAGGGAGATGGCTCAGTAGAATAAGCACTTGCCTGGCAAGCACAAAGGCCTGAGTTCAACCTCTGGTTCTGCAAAAAAACAAAAGGGGGGGGACTCAATGACAGCTTCTTCATGACTCCTCTGTCCCTTGCTGTGTTTCTGCCATGGCCCCAGAGAGTCAGGACTTCAGTTCAATCTTGCAGCTGGAGTTTCCTAAATCTTTTTTCTGTCGGCACCTGTCACAAGCGTGCTGTCCTTGTGCCCCGCATGGTGACCACAGGGTATGGAGACCTTCCCTGCTGCTATCAGCAGCTGAGCCCTCAGGTTTTTTGTTTGTTTCTTTTTGAACGTGGTTGGTGATGCCTTACTTCCTGGAGCTGTGGGATTCCTCACAGACCCTTCCTGTCTCCTGAAGGTGCATGAGCCATGTACTTAGGCCAGAAACTTACTTTGCTTGGCTCAAAGCCAAACTCTATGGTTCCAGCTTGGGCAGTGACTGACCCTTCTGGGCAGGGCAATAGCTCGGCCTCAGCCAGAGGAAACTAGCAGGTTCCAGGGACTCAGCAGAGTTTTCCACCCTCTCTGTCCAGAGCCTCCCACCGCCCTCTGCTGCTGCCTTGGTGCCCATATCCTCTGCCTGCCCAGCATGATGCTGACAACATCTGTTCTTGGCTGCACAGCATTTGGAGAAGACAGGATGCCATTTCTGTGCTCCTGCCCACTGCAGTGGCTTCTCACAGGTGCCAGGGTTTGTGGTTGTCACCACAGGAGGGCCAGGCCCGTGGGAACTCTTGAGTTCTGTCTGGCCTTCTTTGTCCCTGCTCATGAAATTTTTGGTTTCTCTGTTAGATTTCCTAGTATTACATCATTTCTAGGGCAACTTGGTTGTCAAGCACTTGAAATTCCTAAAAAGGAAAGGAAGATTGAACATTGAGGGGAATTAACTAAGTTGTAATGGCAGCTGATTATTTAAAGGTTTTATTAATCTGTTCAAAATTGCATTCATTAAAGTTAAAATCATTTGGTTATTCATTTTTATTTTAGGTTTATAAATGGAACAATATTTGTAAATTTAATTTTGAAGCTTAAAAAGCTGAATTCCAGGGCCAGTGAAATAGCTCAGCAGACTAAGCACCTGCTTAAGCTAGCCCAAGGACCAGGGTTTGATCCCTGGCACCACATGCCATGTCGACCCTGCCCCTGGGTGTGCTGAGCAGGCCACTGAGACCAGGCATAGTGGTGCACGCCTATAATCCTAGTGCTGGAGAGGCTGAAAACAGGAGGATCACTATGAGTCCGAGCTGTGTAGTGAGACCCTGTACCAAATACATTAAAAAAAGCACAAAAACTGGGTTCCTAGAGTTGTCTTTAGAAGGTTGAATATTAGTTTAATAATATGAATCATAAAGAGCCTCTTATTCTCCCACAGAAGAGAACAGAGGCAGCAGCAGGATTTTGGGCTTAGGTGTAGTGTGGAGGCATGGACAAGAGCTGTGCCCAAACAGAGAAGGTGTTAGGATACTCCTGGGAGGAGGGGAGAGGCATGTATAGGCCCTAGGTCTGAGGCAGTACAAAGAACAGACCTAGGAGCCAGGCATGGTGGCACACAGCTGACATTCCATACCAGGGAGGCTGAAACAGGAGAATCACCACAAGTTGAAGGCCGTCCTAGGCTGCATAGTGAGTTCATGGTCAGCCTGGAGTACAAAGCAAGACTGTCTGCAAGAAAAAGAGAAAAGAAAGGAAGGATGTGCGAGATCGTGAGGCCAGAAAGAGCACAGTCCTCCAGGAGAGCACAGGTTCACTGTGGCTGAACACTGGAGGGTGCAGGCAGAGCTCAGCTGTGTGACTTGCCTGCTCAGGAAGGGAGAGAACGTATGGTGAGGACACTTTCACAGTCACATATCTGATAAGAATTTGCATCTAGAGTAAATAAGGAACTATTAAAACTTAGTCCTAGAATACAGACAGTCTACTTGATGAATGGGTAGAGTCTGTTACCGTAAACACTGGACACAACACCCAGCACCATCGGCCTGGGAAGAAACAAGCCACAGTGAGGCATTGCTTCCCACCACAATGGAGAGAGTAACATCCCCAGGAAGTTACATATGCACTGATAGCGGAGCACTCACTGACCAAGCATGTGGCCACTCAGAAGTTTAAACAGGAAGTCACCACATGGCCAGCAGCGCCTAAGGGAATGGAGTGAAGTGCTGATCTTGCTACACATGGTGAGCCACATGTGCAAGGCCACGTCCCGTGTGGCTCTGTTACATGAGATACCTAGAACAGGTGATCTGCAGACACAGGAAGCAGCGGGTATGAAAAAGGAATCAGGGCTGTTTGCAAGCATGGCTGGAATTTCTCTTTGGGGCTCTTTCAGCATTCTGCATGGTAGAAATGATTGTGCAGTTATGTGATTATATTGAAAGGCATGTAACTGTCCACTGTACATGGGTACATCATGTATTATGTGACTTATATCTCCAAAAAGTTTCTATAAACCAGGCCTGGTGGTACAGAACTATAGTCCCAGTTGCCTGGAGGCTGAGGCAGGAGGATCACTTGTGTCCAGGCCTTTGAGACCAGCCTGAGCAACATAGCTAGACCTTGTCTCAAAAAAAAAAAAAAAAAAAAAAAGAAATGAAACTTAAATGTTGTAAAGAGAAGTAGAATGGACATGGTTTCAGAATAAGGGACAGTCTTTGGGACTAAACTCAGTTTTGTGGAATACTAAGAAAAATAAGAGAGAAAAACTAGCGGTCTGGGGAGCCATCGCGTCACAGCTGGGGCCACAGTGAGGAGAAAGACTGTAGCTCAGGAGCTGAGCCCCTTCTGAGCATGGAAGTGGCCAAGGGTAGGTGCAGTGTGTCCATGACATGTGACCCAGCCAGTACTTGGTTCCTATCCACAGCAGGGAGAGCCCTCTCTGGCTGTTGTGTCTGATCAGGGATTCAAAGTGGTACCTTTACTGCCCTGCCTGTTCTTTCTCCCCAGGTTGGGAAGGATCGACTGCTGGACTTTGACCCCTGTTGCATTAGCTATTTCTCTAAGGGGGAGTACATCTTGCTGGGGGGGTCAGACCGGCAGGTGTCCCTCTTCACCAAAGATGGTGTGCGGCTCGGAACGATCGGCGAGCAGGGCTCCTGGGTTTGGACCTGCAGAGAGAAGCCTGATTCCAACTATGTGGTAAGAGGATGTCCAGGATAGACGTCAGGCTGCCTGTGTTCTAGACAGCAGGAGGTGGCTGATGCTTCTCCCCTACAGGTGACAGGTTGCCAGGATGGCACCATTGCCTTCTACCAGCTGGTGTTTAGCACAGTCCATGGGCTCTACAAGGACCGGTATGCCTACAGGGACAGCATGACTGATGTCATTGTGCAGCATCTCATCACTGAGCAGAAAGGTGAGGGATGGAGATGGCCCACAAGTGACAGGAGACTTCTGGCTTCTGTCAGGTCTTGCTCTTTTGGCAGGCAAGGGAATATAAAGATATAATGAAACCAGTGAGGAATGTCCCAACACTAAATTTTACAAATAATTCCAAGGGGTACCAGGACTGCCTGAGAAAGGGAAGCTGATAATGATAAGCCAGGGGCAGGGAAGCTGGCCTGCGTGGGGCTTTGTGGATCTTGATACTCCTGGATGCAACCTTTGAAGAAATAGTAGGGCCAGAGGCAAATCCTTCTGGTGGGAAGATCTGGGTTCCAAGCCAAGCCCTAACAGTCTCCCCATGAGAACCATGCTGGGTGGTGAGAGCTCCTCGCTTAGACTGTGGTGTACAGGGCATAGGGACCAGGCTGGGGGCCATTCTCATAGACTCAGCCAGCTGCCTTTGGCCCTACTTGGGAGGTCCCATGCAGGAAGATTCTGGCTGTGGCAGTGTGGCTTCTGGGACTGCTCAGCAGTATCCCTGGGGACATCTCTTCTGCCTGTTCTGCAGGAGGGAAGAGTCCCTGTCATCAAGGAGATGAGTGGGCTGTGGCCAGAGATGATCAGGTACCTGTGTGGACTTCTGGTAGCCAGGGGCTTGCTGCTCTGCAGAGATTGGAAATTCAGGTTCAGCAAGGGGTGACTGCACTGTTC